TACGTGGGTGGTCAGGAGCAGAGATAAGCAGGTCAGGTTCAGGAACGACAATACTATCTCCCGAGTAGATCTCCCATATGGTCGAACACTCTCAAGTACGCTTCTTCGAGATAGGTACTTGAACGTCGTAAACATGGTCTCACGAAGGCTCCAAAGGGCGTGGATTGCCTAACAGAGATCTAGAAGTTACTACCGAAAGGACGCGTCTGCGCTGGCTGCAGTCTTTGAGCCCAAGCTTGTTTGAGAAGGACAGCGAACCCTACCTGGATCACCATGTCATCATCTGCCATGTTCGTTTCATACTGCAAACACCTCCCGCCTACAGATCCTTAACCGGCTCTGCAGCATCGGTCCCTAAATGGCTGCGGTCTTTGAGCCCAGGCTTGTTTGAAAAGGAAAGGACATTGCCAAGGTCAACCGTCCCATCGTGATACCTCCAGGGTGGCGGCCCTTCAGCAGCCACAATTACTTAAAAAGGCCCTTGAACCATCGAATACCACGTCATCCCTTCCCCTGATGACTCTGCTTCTCTCTGCTCCAGTTGGACCTTATCTTTGCATATGGAAGCTATGTTCGGCCACGTTAAGGGAGAGCCGTATGGACGCTATGCTCACTCCCTTGGCTCCAAGAGCACAAGCACCTCGGACTTCCTTCTGGGACTCGCTGGATGTATTGTCCTCTCCCCTCCGGTGCGGGCGGTTACCGTCGCGAAGCGACGTGAATATAAAGCAGAGTTGAGAAATGCGCAACATCGACCTGGGGCTCTTGTTTTTAGGTAGTGAACTGGTATTGCTGCCAGCGTCAAAATAGACACAATACGTCACACACGTGCAAACTGGATGGCAAGGGACTGGGGAAAGATATATGAACACCTGAGCAAATTTATCAATTGGAAGAATTAGTACCAAGAAATAGCAATTGTTTATCCTTAGACATCATTAACTTGCAACACAACCCGAATCTCGAAGCCCACATCTGTCATTCCCGACGCACCCGCCTCCACCACCAAGTAACCCACGTCGTCGAGATAACCTTAGACTGGACTTGTCCGCGCCAAAGCAAGCACGCACAAGGCCCTGGCCCACATGTTCCAGTGCATATTTGGAATCAATATTCATGAAGAATGCCAAACGATTTTGGAAACTTGACACCGCAACGCAATCACTGTGGAGAAGGTTTTAACGACTGCGCCCACAAATCTTGGTCAGGCTGTTGCTGTTGGGCGCGACAAAATGAGACGCGCGCACTTTTGTCGGCGCAGGCGGAGGTATGGCGGTAGATGGGGTTCAGCTCAGGTTTTTTTCCACTCTGAACTGGATGGCCATCCTGCGTCGGCACATGAGAAAGTGTCTGAGGAGGTACATGTGAAACCAAATGGAAGGTCAATTATGGCTTTAGAATCATTGTAATTGTTAGGCATTGAAGCCTTGCGGCGCCTTGCGCCGAACCCGCTGACCCTCAGCCGGGGAGCGCGCCACAGAAGTTACGCTTGGGCCGTTTGGCACCTTAGGCGCACAGAACTCGATGAGTTCAGGGCGTGAGGGGGAGGATGAAGGAGAGCTGGGTAGGACGCAAACGTAGGGCGAACAGCATGGCGAGGGGCAGGTCAGGATTGCAGAGTGCAGCCCAGGGCTCCGGTTGTTGTCATGACTGGATTACTGGCGTTGGGTAGCTCCTGCCGAATTGGCGCCAAATGTGATTCATATTTGGCAAAGCAAGAACGACTATATAATTGACACCATCAGTGGGCGAGCAGAAGTCAGAAGCACGCAAACTTGACAATGACTTGCTCAAAGTGGGTCTGGATTGCAGCCGGCTTGTCAGTGGCAAGTGTGCTTCAACAAGCAAACGTTGTGTTTCAAAGAACGCTAAACAACGGCAAAGAACTGCTAAAGCAACCAGAACTCGGGTAGCTGTCAGGTCAATAAGGCAACCTTTCTTGAACGCTCTTGTCAAGCAATAGGAAAAGCATGGAAAAGCAATCCTTCTGTCTCCATCTGTGGATCCATCCATGGAATACCGACAGAAAAGCATCAAAAACACGCGCACAGGAACCACATCAAGGGCTTGCAGGTTCAATCTGCGAACTTTTGGTAGAGAAGCATCTGATCAACGCCCGGTGAGAAATTCCAAACGTTCCACGGCGACATACACAGTGGGCTTGCTGCTGGGCCCCTTGTCTGTGGATACTTGTTGCTTGGACCCTTTCCAAGCCCAAAGGATCTGAAGGACACCCAAAACAGAAATCTCCACGCCACACCACAGGAACAACTGTCTACGCTTTGGAAGCTTGGGTGGCCTGTTCAACTGTGTGTCTTGCACCTGTGCTAAGCAAGCCGTGATGGAGGGTCGGCGGCCCTAGGTGGGAACCAAAAGGTTCAATGTATATATAGAATTATATAGATATACAGTATATATAGTGTAAAATTGTTTTAGAGCGATTGGCATGATGATGCATGGGTTGGGCTGGATTTCTGGAAGCTCACTGCTCCACTACCTACTGTAAGACTCGATGCGAAGCTGAGTGCACGCCGATTGTCGGGCCGCCCAAACAAACATCAGCACGCTAGGCGTCGCACTGATGGATTGACCATCCCAGACCCTGGTGATAATGCGTTACTACTACGGACATGCAAAAATGACAAAGGCTTGGTACCCACTTGTCCGACCCCGCGTCTTCCAAGATGCTTCCCACAAAGTAAACAAAACGTAACAAAACTGCCCAAACCGTCAAACTGCTGAGGTTGAAACTGCCACCATCATAGCCACCAAACACCCACATCTTTCCGCCATCGTAAGCTGCTGCGTGAGAATACCGGGCTGAAATTCCGCCTGAAAGACTGGAACTGGTGAGCAAAGGAGTCACCCATGTTGGCATGGCCGCCTGGCAATGCATCTGTTTGGCCACTCGATTCTTGCTTGACTAAGGGTTGGGTAGCAACGCATTTCAAAACATTGACAGTTCCTGCCCAGCCCAACAGTGCGCGTGATTATGGGCATGAGGCTTGAAGCTGAAAGCTAACAAAATGGCAGTGGCAGTGGCAAAACAAAGAACTTGCATTATCTTGCATTGCGTGCCCCAGCCTGCGTATCCAAGAAATGGACGTCATCAAGTGTGCCTCGCAATTTCGCTTGCAAAGCAAAGCCTGCTCACAAACCGCAAACCATGAAGCTAACATTAAAGATATTGGGAACAAGTCCCAAGTTTGGGGCCAAATCCGGGGAGATGCCAAGTCTCTGGTGCCATCATTGCCACCAAATACCCACATCCTTCCACTGCCATCCATTGTTGCAGTCATCATTTCTCGGGCGGTTGGGGGTGCACCGCTCACGGATGGGGTCGCCCATGTTGGGGTAGCGGCCTGGTAGTGGCTGAAGCGTGTAGTTCAAAAGGAAAATGAACTGCGAATCGTCGCCGCCGTTCAAATCACAAGAAACTCCATGCGGACGAATGCGCCCTGTCGTCCTTGAAACCAAAATGGGCACAGCAAATGATCATGTCTTCACATGTTGCCCCAGGACAATCAAAAGCTACTGACCCGGGTTGAAACGTTGGTGTTGCATTCTTGGTCTACTTCACCGTGGGACTGGCTTTCGTCGACGCTGTTGCCGCTGCTATGGTTGTCTGCGCTTTTGGGCACATGATTTGTTGTTGTGGATGATGTCGTCGCTGTGGCCCTTGTTTCCTGATTTGGTTGGGACGTGAAATAAACATTATATACTGTATATTTGTGTGTTTAATTTTGTTTGTCACGGACTCTATTTGTTCAAGCTGTCTCTGGACTGCTCCAGGAGGACGCGTCCTGTTGCACTGCACCTTTTGCAACTTCGTTGCAGCTATGCCAACCCAATGGAGCTTGATGCTGGGTCCTGGTCCCAAACCCATGTCATGCAATCATGTCATGACTTGTGTTGTCGCACCAAACGTGAGAGCTGTCGTGGGGGCTGTGAACTCCGCCATAAATCATGGATACGCATACGTGAGCTATCAAAGAGCGTAAGAGCGCTAGTCAATTTGGCATCGCTCTCCGAAAGGGTCGACTCATGTCAGCTTCGCAACTGTAATGCCCCTTTGCGCTTCGCCTCATCACTTCTCATTTTGCTTCGCCTCCTCTTGCCAAAGTTGCCTGCGGATCTGACTGGAGAACTCGAGCAATCGCTGCGTAAAGGCGCAATCGGACCCACAATTTGGCTGAAGTTGGAATATAGGGATTGCGGTATCGCAGGACACCCAGGCAGCAGTGAACGGTCCTGTCTTTCTTTGATGCGTCAGAGTCAAAACAATTCCCACGTGGCTCCCAACTCGAGCTGGTGATTGTCCAGGAGCATGTTATATACCCGAACATCTGTTGCGTGCAAATAGGAAATGACCATCTTTGAAGCCAAGCAAAGTTCTCGGTTCGCATGAAAAGGAAGAAGTGGTTCAAAGGCACGCAAAGTGTTGCATGTGAATCCTAGGCGCCTCGATCCAATGCATATGAAAGCAATCTTCAAACCCGCAGCCCGATCAGAAGGAAAGCCTGGAGGAGCATCAGAATCACCCTTCCAGGTGCTAAGTGCAAGAAAAGCATGCTGTTCCAATACCTCAAGCAAGACCGATTGATCCGGATGTTCAAACCCAGTCTGCATGGTGCCATCTTTGGCTGGATATTCACTGACATCCACAGTGATTCGATTGGCCGGCAGGTTGGCGCTGGTGGAATGACGCAAGCGCTGATAACAGCAATGGAGACGCACGTGGAGCAAAATGACCATCAATGCACGATGCTAATCCAATAGATGGAACCGATGGGACAAAGACTTTCGGTTCAACACCTATGGCAGTAATGGCAGTTTGGCGCCCAGTTGCTGCCCTGCCCACCTGGCTTGGACAAATTGTTGTTGACCATGCCGTGGTGCGCAGGAAACAGCTACGTGCATCAGAGCTGCCCGAGATCCGAGTGCCCTTTAAATCTTGCTGAAGCCTGTGCGCACCTCACCACATTTGCGTGTGACACGTGGTTTGATGAAGGGTTCTCACACAAGCTGCCACTGCTCCTGCTCCACAGAAGCCGATTTGGCAACTGAGCCACGTAAACTGAAAGACAGCAGCGCATCCTACAGTGTATGGCGTCTGGTTTCAAGACTTGTCCCGATGCGATTACTACCAGGTCATGGGTCTGGTGGTCTCATCTCGTTCGATTCATCCGGCAAGAGTGGAGAGCAATCAGGTATATAAATTGCCCACTTGCTCTTCAGGACGTGTTAGGGAAATCCATTCTTGGCCTTGAAGGATTGCCAAACAAAATGCTTTGGCCATCTTGCTTCAGTCCCACAATTTGCATACACGCCGGGGCAAGATCGACCAGCTTTTCTCTCATGAAGGCCAAGTGCATCAAGCGCTTCGTTACAGTCAACTTAGACATGAGAAAGGCTTTTGTTTGACTGTGTTCATACATGTAGGCGTGCTTCTAGTGCGCATCTCGGTGTTTGTCTACATGTAGGTGTATAAACCGCATCGATTTTGGAGCCTTTTTTTTGGCCGTTCCCAGGCTGGGACGTTCACTGTTTGACTATGGGGTATTGTTCGGGGTATGCTTCACACGGTGTTTGAAATGAAGTAGTTACATTTTCAGAGGGTATGTGTGCTTCGTCTAAGTCGAGCATACATAAACAGGACTTAAGAATGTAAAAGAACACAACAGGACCAAATACACACCTGAAAAGGTGAATAGATGTAAAATGCCTCCGGAAAGCTTCTACAGTTGTTGAAGCTCTTCAGAAAATCTCTTTAGGCGGAGGGGACCCGGCAGTGTCCATCGTTGAGACATGGCTCTCAGCGGGGATCGTGCGTGTTAGATGCGCGAAGCTGGGATAAACGTGCCTTTTGCATTCTCACGACCCTCTGCCAACGTAGGCGCATTTTGCGTGTCCCTCATGGAGATCGGGACGCGCGAAATTTGAAACTGTGAGGAAGCGCGCGTTGCCAGCTAGCCTCTGCGGAGATCAATTTTTCCGACGAGCGGGCCACCAATGGAGCTTGGACATCAAAAAAACGCAACAATGTCAAATGCAAATCTTCACTTTGTTCGCGCAACCCTCTGCGGGGATCATGCGCTTTGATCGCCTGAAACCTGTGTAAAATGTGTGTTTTGATGGTCCCATATCGCCAAAACATAAAACTGTCGTCGAACATGAATCTTTGAAACGCGAAACTGTTGAAAACATGAAGCTGCAAACGTCGTTCCCCTCTGAATGATGTTCGGCATTCCGAGAACGAAATATAGACTACATAAACCACGGCGTCTGTAGAGATCTAGGTTGATTTGCAGGGTTGATATGTTTGTCTGTTCTCATCTTTAGAATGTTTAAACATCTTTAAACACAAGTTGCGCCTATCTTACTCGTACTCAACTTTCTGGCCACACTGTCCTTTAGTTCTTGTTACTCTTGTTTAATTATTAATTGTTTGTTCTGTTGGTATCGGTTTTGTGGTTGTGACATGTTGCGACAGTCAGTCGCTGCAACTTTTGGTTTGTTTATGGTGGTGGTGGTTGTTCTTGTTCCTTGTTGTTGGTCCTGTTCGTCTCGTAAGGATGTAAAGGAACTCAGTATCCAGGGCCCCTTGACTGGCTAGCGGTTCTTGAACCTGATTGACGGGAACGAGGAGAAACCCATTCTCATCTATATCAGTGTGCTATCCTGGCAATGGCCGAAGCCAAGAAACCACGGACGCGGAAAACAACCCGCAAAAATATGCAAAAATGGAAATGCTTTCCTCCTCGCTCATTAGCTCTTTCGCGCGATGCTGGCAAAACAGCGGGGCTTCAAAATTTTACAGCAGCCAGAGGAATCACCCGTGAATGAGGCTGCAAGCAGCAGGTTGAGAGGATATCGCGCCGGCTGTGTCAATGCCATCGTTGGCCCCCTTTTCCACCGGCCACGACCACTGTCGCAAAACAAGCCGCGACACGATTGTTGAAAAACCGATTTGGTGGGGATGGAAATTGGCAATGTCTCACTCCAACGAAAAAATATCAAAGTTTCGCCCCGCCTGGGTATCCAAGTAGTGAACATCATTCAAGAAGCCGCCTCAAACACAGCAATCAACTGTTACAGCAACTGCAGCGTCCTGGGTCCTGTCAACGTCACAAACAATATTGCAACAAGGCGTCACGATTGAGCCCGCTACTTGCAGGTCCCCAGCCACCAAAGACCCACATCTTTCCGTCGCCATCCATGACCGCTGTGTGTCCATTTCGGGCTTGTTGGCTGGTGCCACTCGGCGAAGGAGTTGTCCATGTAGGAGCGCCGGCCTGCTGTGCACACAGTAACCGATTCCACAAGTGTGGTAGAACCAACAAAGTGATACACATTGCTTGGACACTCGAACGAGGACTTTATGTATACAGTAAAGTCCTCGGTGTCAAAGGCTCTGGGTATTTTTCTTGGGTCCTGAGGCTCCAAGTTTTTCTGGAGCTAAGGTGTTTGGATGATCCAAGTGCTTTGTATGTTTTCCTAGAGCTCAAGCCTCACCAAATCACAGCGTAGTCACCTTATAAAATCCTGTTATGAAGTCCTATACCTCGAGCCACTCAAGATATCGGCACACATCATTTTTTCTGAAGGATCGATCTCATGGCACCGTACCGGGGAGTGACCGGAGGCATTGACCCCACCAAGCAAACCCATACGGTGTCATCTTTAGCCGCTTATATGGTCTATACTGTAACTGGTTGGCACAAGGGATTGACAAGTGAAGATTTCGTACAGAGATGTACGGAGTGGCGCGCGGTTTGCGCAATTACCTTCTTAAAAACGGCTGCGCATAAATACCTTCACTGGATGTTTAAAGGCTTCTGTTTTGCTGCGCTGGAGGGTGCAGCCAGCGATTCATAAATGTCAAAATTCACATTTCCACGGGGGTTATTTGTATTTTCTCTAGTTGCCCGCGTTTCGCCCAATTCCAGACGGGTAGCGTGAAACATGTATATCGCCATGGGGGGGGGCGTTGCGATCTTTTCGAGCTTGTTGGATCGGAGCGGCAGGAGCAACGTCTCGACGCCCTCGATAAGCAGACGGAAGAGGCATGGGAGTCGAGGGAAGTTCAGTGAGCGCCCCTCTCTCTCTCTGTCTCTCTCTCTCTCTCTCTCTCACTCCCTCTTTTTGTGTCATTTGTTGAGAGGTTCTTTGGCTCGCCTGCTGTTTATGCCAAGACAGGATAGGCCTCAACAGACGTGCAGACGTTTGTTTTCCAACCTTGCAGCGTCGTCTCATGCGGCTCCTTTGCGTTAATCGCCCATAAAGAACGAGCAAGCTTGTCGGAGGGGTGGTTAATCCGGTCCACCTATGAATAAACACGGCCCCGCCTATTAAGAGAAACTCGGTCGCATTTTTCCCCAAGCAGTGTGGGCACACTGAAGGGTTCTTACGGTAGTGGAAAAGCAGCTGATGCTTAGATCGCTGAAGCGCGCGGGCGTGACCGGCCAATTCGCTGCTATTTACAGTACACTCATGCCTCTCGACATTGTCAATGTAATGTGCACTTCGACTGCGCAGGCTCACAAAGAGGTGGGGGCCGGCAGCGGGTGCTTCAGGCGACTGCGCTCTCGTTGTGGCGCCGTGCGCATTTTGGTACATGGTGGCAACTTTTCGTGACAGGTGCAAGGGATCGGAGCTGTTTTGCTTCGAAATGCAATTTTCGTGGCAGGTGCAGCGCTTTGGACATGGTGGTGATCGTCGAGGAGCTCTGATTTCGTGACAGGTGCAGTGAATTGTGACTTTTGGACATGTGGCTCGTTTGCAGGTTTCGTTGCAGGTACAGCACTTGGTGAACCTTGAGGTGCAGATTTCATGGCAGGTACAGCGCTTGGTGAACCTCGAAGTGCAGATTTCGTGACAGGCGCAGCACTTGGTGAACCTCGAAGTGCAGATTTCGTGGCAGGCGCAGCACTTGGTGAACCTCGAAGTGCAGATTTCGTGGCAGGCGCAGCACTTGGTGAACCTTGAAGTGCAGATTTCGTGACAGGTACAGCGCTTTCTGAACCTCGAAGCGCAGATTCGTGGCAGGTGCAGCGCTTGGTGAACCTCGAAGTGGAGATTTCGTGGCAGGCACAGGACTTGGTGAACCTGGAAGTGCAGATTTCGTGGCAGGCACAGCATTTGGTGAACCTCGAAGTGCAGATTTCGTGGCAGTTGCAGCGCTTGGCAAGCCTCGAAGTGCAGATTTCGTCAGCGCTTGGTGAACCTCGAAACGCAGAGTTCGTGGCAGGCGCAGCACTTTGTGAACCTCGAAGCGCAGATTTCGTGGCAGGCACAGCGCATTGTGAACCTCGAAGTGCAGATTTCGCACTTGCTTGGTGAACCTCGAAATGTAGATTTTGTGGCAGGCGCGCTCGCTCACAATCGGAGGTCACACACTCACTCACTCTCCGACTCCCACTCACTCTCACTCACACTCACTCTCGTCCACACTCACTCGCACCCACCCCTTCACTCTCACTCGCACTCACTCACACTCACACTCACACTCACACTCACTCTCACTCACTCTCCCATTCTTACTCTCACTCACACTCACTCTCACCCACACTCACTCATTCACACTCACTCTCACTCACTCTCACTCTCACTCACTCTCACTCTGCAATACCTCCCTGGCTCTCCAGGTTTTCATGATGGTTATTATGGGATGGGCCCACAGACAAGCAATTTCCTCTCCACTGCTCCACTTCCTCCATCCCATCCTCCACCTTCCTTGCCAACACAGCATCAGGTCATACAATACCACCAACCTCAACCCATCTACAGAGCACGCTCTCGCTGTCGTGACCGCCACCCCATTTCTTCCACCTGGGACACTCCTTTTTTCGTCCGTAACAACCGCACCAACACCCTCTCTACATCACAGGCTCAACCACCCAGCCCACAACCACACCATCAGCCACTGGCCGCCTCCACCTCCACTGCTACTCTTGACTCTATGGAATCAGGGCCATCCACTACCGACTGGCGACCTTTTCAGGGCAACCGGTGATTCTCACCCAAGCCTCTTTCCAACATACATCTTTAGCCAAGCTGCTTTTGCATTTTGACAATCGCTTCAGGCCAGGAAAAAACGGCGCCGTCTCCGGTGTCACCAAAACCAGTTACTTTTCCACACTTTGGGTTTTCCTTGATTTCACTCTTGATTGTTGCGTACTCCGCAGCCATTTACTTCCAAACACCTGTGCTCTGACTTACGCCCACTTCACCGCCCACTTCCCGCGATGGACGAAGAAGCTCCTGATTGGACACGCTCCCCATCACCGGACTGGCCGGTCAAAGAGGATCCGTACCTCGAGCAGAAAGAAGAACCCAAAGAGGAACTCAAAGAGGAACCCTGCTCCCTCTCCGCTCCTGCCCCTTCTCCCCCCCACTACTCTCCAGCTTCAGCCACGAAGGTTTCCATCAGCGCACCGCCACCCAAGCAACCTCTACACCCATATTGTCGCACTGTTGACGAAGAGAAATTCTCCCCATCTTTGCTTCCGCAGATAGTTGCGACCGCTGGCACGACAAAAGGATCAACTGGGCTAGGGCCTCCAAGGCTGCAATGGCCGATTGCAAATCGCGCAAACCTTTTGTAAACCAAGCTGGTAAAGCAGCCCATTCTACTTCGCAGGAAAACCAGAAGATGTTGGACGGGTGGAGCTCTGCACCCTCTGGCAGGAACCAACCGCCCACACCAGCCCGGGTCCCTTCTGCATAGGCATCCGCTGCCGCCACAACGCCGGGTTTACCTTGCAGGCAAAGCTGTCCTGGAAACATCGTTCGATCATACGCAGGTACGGCCTCGTCCCAATTGGAAAGCTCTGCGACATAGATTCCAAGGCGCAAATGATGTGCTGACAGTGACAAGCAAAATCTTTGGTCTTCACTTTTACAGACGGTTATGACGTCTTTTGCGTGTAATACTCATGACGACGCCCAGGTTCACGCACACTACCTGCTTTCGTCTGAGCGATGAAAAAGAGCTTGGCTATAGAGTTTTACGTCGGCAGCGCGATGGGGTTTTACTTCGGCTAGTTGTGGCCGTACACACATGTCTGCGCAGTACCGCGTACATCCGCCGTGCACATTACTCTCCCACACCTCTCTCCCACCCCTCTGCTGTGTAATTCTGATATAATAATTCCTGACAAGACCATGTTGTAGAATCTATTGAGACTCTGACTGCTTTGCGCTTTAGAAACTTAAGATTCGTAAAGATTCATATGTGGGGTTATCCGGTCCTTTAATTCTTAGTTTCTTTCTTGCTATCTATCTATCTTTCTTTCTGTCTTTCTGTCTGTCTTTCTGTCTGTCTCTGTCTCTGTCTCTGTCTGTGTCTCTGTCTGTGTCTGTGTCTGTGTCTGTCTCTGTCTCTGTCTCTGTCTCTGTCTCTGTCACTCACTCGCTCACTCGCTCACTCGCTCACTCGCTCACTCGCTCACGCACTCACGCACTCACGCACTCACGCACTCACGCACTCTCGCACTCACGCACTCACGAACTCACGCACTCACGCACTCACGCGCTCACGCACGCACGCGCGCACGCACGCACGCACGCGCGCACGCGCGCACGCTCGCACGCTCGCACGCTCGCACGCTCGCACGCACGCACTCGCTTGCTCGCTCGCTCGCTCGCTCACTCGCTCACTCCCTCACTCACTCACTCACTCACTCCCTCACTCCTGCCTCACTCACTCCTGCCTCACTCACTCCTGCCTCACTCACTCCTTCCTCACTCACTCCTTCCTCACTCACTCCTTCCTCACTCACTCCTTCCTCACTCACTCCTTCCTCACTCACTCACTCACTCACTCACTCACTCACTCGTTGAGACAGTGTGGGGCCTACGTGGCCACATCTTGAGGCTATCTTGGCCCATCTACGGGCTATGTTTCCCATATCTGGGACCGATGTAGGGTCATCTTGCGGCTATGCGTGCCATATCAGAGACCTATGCAAGGTAATCTAGAGGGCCAGGTTCTGTCCGCCCAGCGCGCATTACCGACAGCACCCTTGAAAAACACAGCGTTTTTGCATTTCTCCCTCTTCGCCGCGTCCCCTTTCAGTATGCGCAATAAACCTTGTAAAACACAGTGTTTTGTGTACCTCAGCCGTTGCTGTTGGAGTGTGCCCGACGCCCACGAAATGTCGATTAATCCTGTCCGCGCGGCGCGCATTACCGACACCACCCTTGAAAAACACAGCATTTTTGCATGTCTCCCTCGACGCCGCGTCGCGCTTCAGCACGCGCAAAAAACAATATAACACACAGTGTTTATTGTACTTCACACACACACACACGAAACACTGTAAATTACATGGTGGGAGGTGAACACGGGGTGAACCGGGGGTGGTCGGCGGCAGCGGGTGCCGTTCCCTAAAACTTTGCCCTTCGGGCGCAACACGGGCTGGCCCAGGGCCCGGCGCCCGGATTCCGACACGCAGCATTGCCGAATCTGTCTTCATTACCCATCTCTTACAGGATTTGCGAGAGCAGCGTCTCGACCTTGACGCCGGGCTTACCACGCACCCTTGGCGCAACTTGCGACCCGCCAGATTGAAGCCCACGCGCCAGCTGCGGCAGAAGGCTGCGCCCTATACGGGCACTAAAAGCAAAAACCGACGACCTCGAGCGGGCCCAGGCCAAGCTCCAAGCCCACAGCCTTGACTTCACCCCCCGAAAAGAGCCAAAAGACCGCCCTTCAGCACCATCCGCCCTCTGCGAGGCACCTTCTCACCAGCCACCATCCTTGGCGGACGCGCTGCAACCACCCCATCCATCTCTCAAAGACGATGTCCCAGAAGCGTGGTCTACCAACGCCATCCACACATGGGTCGCCACTTTCGACGAGGCTATCCAAGAATCCGCCAGACAAGCAAGGTCACAACCGACCATCTCCGTGAGGCACCTACCCGGTATGGACTCCCTCTGTCCAAACTCAACCGGGCCACCATCAAGACCCTTCAGAACCTCGTCAGTATTGGAGCAGCTCCTGCCTGTTGAGTGAGCACCATCGGCCAACATTCGCCCGCTTCCACCAACATGCAACGCCTCTTCTTCCACCTTCACCACGCCCTCTCTATTCTCATCCAATGAGCTGCCTAAAATTGAACGCGCTGATGCCATCTGTTCTACCGGTCTCATACACCTCACCCTTCTTTTCGCTTACCCATCCAACACACACCGTTCACAACAATGGCGAAAGCGCTTTCGCCAGCTCCAAATCCTACCCCATGGCCGCCAACCTCGAAGAACCCGGTCGCACAAGGGCTCTGCGCAGTATCCACAAGGCATTGCAATACCGGAACCTGACACGACCCCGTGCCAACATTCCCCTTACTGTCCCCTTCTTGGCTCATGATGACTTTACCAAACACACCCAGCAGTGGTTACGCACCACCATCCAACAACGCAAGCGCCTCGCCATTCTTCACCTACCTACTCATCGCCTCCGTCCAAGACTTTACGCGCTCAACTCCACAACCACACGAGATGGGAGGACAGCCTCCATACTCCCCCAGATCCAACCGATCTACCCTGCCATCTCAGCACCCTCTTGCTGGATCCCACCTGCACCACTACAGACGGCCACTACATTCTTACTCTTGACCAGCTGCAACTCCCACCTCACTTGCGCATCTTTCTAGATGCCAACATGAACAGCACATGGCTCCGCGCCCAAGGTTTCCACGCAGAAGATTTTTGAAGTCAAAAGGCCGCCGCGCTTTTCTGCATGCGCCGGCATCGGCACCTTGTGTGTGTCCCCTTCTGTTTCCAAGAGTCTAAACTTTTCCACCGTACCCGCAGGGGGCGACAGAGTCGCTGCATGGCTGTCGCCATCGAAGCTCCATGCAGTTGACTAGGATATCACGGCTGATCACCGTGACGTGCCTGCTGAATTTATCCACGCACTGTGACTCTACTTTTCCTTGTTTGTTTCCATGGTGGTTTTCATGCTACCTTTCCCAAAACCAGGTTTTCCGCTGCGTTTCAGCTGCCGCGAGCCTGCAAACAAGTGAACCATTTGTTAAACTTTTCAAGTGAGCTGACTTCACCACCTTGCGTTTCCCTCATCCGTTTCTACGTGGAACAGAGGTAACTGCAAACCCATTGTCTAAGTCTAAGTGTGTGTGGCCCCCTCCGTATCTAGGAGTTTGGCGGCAACGCGTCGAGTATCTCGTCTTGTTCCACCACGGATTGGTTGGTCTCCTTCGATTTTCTTCTTTACGTTCTGTCCCGTGACTGACGCTGCCAGCTCGAGCTGTAGATCCTTGGATTGGCGTTCGTGGATTTCGCTGCTTGGATGGAGCCGTTAACTCTTGCCCAACTTGCCCACAGCACGGTGCTGAATCAGCACCTCCAGCCCGCAGCTGTGGCAAGCCCACGTCCCTTCAGCAAACATCATCAAACGTCAAACATCCCTTCTTCAGCCGTATCCTTACAAGCTCGGCGATGCTTTGACAGTAGGGAAGATTGCTGCCGGCCCTTCCAAAGAACTAATCAAGCCCTTGAATGGCACAGGTTCCATCCAACGGCCAAGACCATGCAGCGCAAGCGCTTCGTGTGCTAAGGTGAGACCCTGCGGTTCTAGAATTGTTCGGCCTTTGTTTGGGCCAAGCCTTCAGTCAGAAGTAGAAGCCAAATGGATAAACACAAATTTAAATCGTCTCCACGCGGAATTGAAGATACGCCTAAAGGTCAAACCACATCAATGTGATGCCTGCCTGGGTGTCCAAGTAGTGGACATCGTTGAAGTAACCTCAAATAAAGCACCCAAAACCTCACGGCCTACTGAGACAAAGCAAACACTCTGACCAAATCCCTCACAACCTGAGTTCGCTGCCGCTGCCATCCCATCCACCAAATACCCACATCTTGCCACTGGCGTCCATCACTGCTGAGTGGCGCTGACGGGCAGATGGGCTGGTGCCGCTGACGGATGGCGTTGTCCAAATTGGCGTTCCGGCCTGGCAACCCGGCTGATCTGGTGATGATTTGGTGACAACGGAGTTCAGGCCACAGTGGAGTGGCAAGTCAGCTCAAGGAAAGCAATGGGACACAGGAACACTGTGGTAGCAGGTAATGAGTGGGTTGCTCTTTCAAGCTTGGTGACAAGGTCGCGCAGCTTGAAGTTAGTGATGACTTGGCTGAGTTCGCTAGTGGGACAGTTGGCTGATCAGTCAGCCAAGTAATCGCAAACAACTGCTTGAATGGTGGATTAGCCTGTGTGATGAGCTGACATTTAGGTCGCCAAGTAGTAAACAAATGTAAAAAGAAGCTGTGTGGTAAGCGGCGGGATAATGATAAGTTAGCTGAAAAGCGCTACCTGCTAGTTGTTGCGCTATCTTTTATTACTGTATTCAATTATGATCCTTCGCCCCCTGCAAATCTCACATGAAGCAAACCCGAATCCAATCTGGCGCCGTCCTACCACGATCCTTACATTGCGGAGCGCAATGGCCTAGCGTGCCTGCGTTATCTGCCAACCTGTCGCAACTTGCAGCGAACCTCGAACTTTCCAGTGTAATCAACGTAATCGCTTTCCCAACTCTAACCTCATCGATGAAGCCATACCGGAACCTGGATTGGCCGAGCATAGACCAAACCAAACCTTACATGGTCCGCCAATGTCCGCCAGCTACACTGCAAATATACTTTTGGCGGATCGTGAGCATTCTGCTGTTTTGGAACAAACAAACGCATTCCGTGCTCATCTTTGCTTTGTGTGCAATCTCCTGTCTAAGGAGGCAAGCTCAAGCTGCCGCTGTGCCCCAAACCTGGGTGTCCAAAGAATGCACCTCATCAAGGACAGCACCTTGGACAGAAGATCCACAAGACCGTGCTGTGCTGAAATTGTCGCTGAGCCCGCCGCTTCCATCAGTTCCACCAAAGACCCACATTTTTCCGCTAGCATCCATCACCGATGTGTGAGCCTCGCGCGCAGTGGGACTAGTGCCACTGACAGACGGAGTCACCCACGTCGGCGTGCCAGTACCATCCTGGCGGCGTGTGTAAGCAACTGCTTGTAGCGCAAAGTGCACAGTTTATGTAATTGCAACTTGATCTTGCCTGGCAACACATCGATGTGTCTAATTAGACCGTAGTACCCCCTATACACCAAGAAGTATGCCTGCATAAGGAATTTGCAAGTGCATCGTTCATGTGTTGGAGTTTGAGATTCACTTTTATACTATAATTCAGACGTTCCGTTGTTTGCTCACATCCATTTTCTTGCCCCTTGCACCCCTTGCGACCAAAGTATCCCAAACATAAGCACATTATCATTGTATATTATAGAGGCAAGAAAGTCACAAGAACCATTGTATGACAAGCCGAGAGAGTGCTGTATGGAACCTCTAAGTTCTAGACATGCCTGGGTATCCAAATAGTGCACATCGTTCAGGTAGCCGCCTCAACGACTTGTAAAAACTAAACCATCAAATATCGCTGGTAAACCCGCCACTCACTGATGGGTGACAGTGCTACGCGCTACAGTGCTGAGCCAGCTGCTCCCGGACCCCCAACCACCGAAGATCCACAACTTGCCAGCGCTGTCCATCACCTCCACGCGGTCTTTAAGAAACCAACAAATCAACAAATAAACACAGTTAATACCATAGTCGTTAACACTTGTCACCACCTCCACTAATCCAAGTCACGCCCGTGTGTTTGTTGCGGACCGCCGGGCTGGTCCCACCGACAGATGGACCTCCCCATCGTGCACATTCCACCTCACAGGCAACTTCCGAGATGTTCGGAACTTAGAATGCAAACGAACAAACAAATGCACATACATACAAACAAACATAACATACATACATTACATTACATTACATTACATTACATTACATTACATTACATTA